AGAATACCAGGTTGGAAGGGACCTCAAGGATCGTCTGGTCCAATCTTTCTTGGCAAAAGCACCATCTAGACAAGATGGCCCAGCGCCCTGCCCAGCCGATTCTTAAAAGTGTCCAATATTGGGGAATCCACCACTTCCCTGGGGAGATTATTCCAATGGCCGATTGTTCTCATTGTGAAAAATTGGCTTGGGCTTTCGTTCTTACGGCTTGTGGATACCTGGGTCCTGGTCAGGTTTCCGTTCTGTGATGCTAGGCTCATCACCGATGCAAATAATTCTTGGTATTTCTAAGGAACGGCAGGAATCTCATGCATAGTGCCTTTGCTACATGTCTATTGAAAGTGTTTATGTCACACACACATATATATAAAAATAAGTATATATAGATCTACACAAAAAGTTTACGTGTGTATACTTACACACACCAGCAGCAGGTTCTGTAGCCAAAGCTTTTTGAAAAGTTATTGTCAGAACTGTTTGAACTATTAAATTCAGCACTTTCTTTTAAAAAAAAAAAGGTACTTTTTTTAAAAAAAGCCTTGACACCTTTTCAGATGACGACTGAAGAAAACGCAGGCAGTTAAGCGCCTTTACTAACGGTTTGCTTTATGGGATCGGCTTGGGCTTTCGTTCTTACGGCTTGTGGATACCTGGGTCCTGGTCAGGTTTCCGTTCTGTGATGCTAGGCTCATCACCGATGCAAATAATTCTTGGTATTTCTAAGGAACGGCAGGAATCTCATGCATAGTGCCTTTGCTACATGTCTATTGAAAGTGTTTATGTCACACACACATATATATAAAAATAAGTATATATAGATCTACACAAAAAGTTTACGTGTGTATACTTACACACACCAGCAGCAGGTTCTGTAGCCAAAGCTTTTTGAAAAGTTATTGTCAGAACTGTTTGAACTATTAAATTCAGCACTTTCTTTTAAAAAAAAAAAGATACTTTTTTTAAAAAACGCCTTGACACCTTTTCAGATGACGACTGAGGAAAACGCAGGCAGTTAAGGGCCTTTACTAACGGTTTGCTTTATGGGATCATGAAGAGAGTGTGCCATATATAGCCTTCTACAAGGTGAAACCCCCAAACAAATGGGCAATCTAGCAAGAGCCCTTCAGTGAGGTAACCTCACCAAAAAGCAGTTTTAGGCTGGAGAGGTCAAGGCCATCAGTTTTTACTCTGGAATAGCAGAGCTCTGCTTCAGCGGGACGGTGCCTGGGACGGCTCCGTCCTGCTCAGAAAACAGAGATTTGGAATGATTCATCTTTTTCCCCTTGAATTTCTGCCTTGTCTGTCTCCCTCAATCTGCTTACCCAGCGTGAATTCTTGATTAGACAGGCAGCTACCACTAATGTGGCAGAAGGGTAGGAAAAAGATGCTAAAAAGGTAGAAGTTTGTCATTCTGCAGTGAGAACCCTGGCAAAAGTGCCTCTAGCGAGCAAAAGCGGGGCCTCTTGTGTCCAGGAGAAATGCTTGGTGTGGACAGCCAGGGTGCATGTAATACGTGCAGGGAACTGAACATTTACTGTTGTGTACAGAGTTGTTGAAATGCCTTATTTAAAATAAAGACAAATATTTTCTAGGGGTTGGTGCTGCAAATAAGAGGTTTAAGAAGTTCCTGCTACTCGTTTTCCAACTGAGAGGGCAGAGGAGGGTTGGAGGCGCTTTGTTTGTTTGTAGTATGGTTGGTCCCCTCCTCTTGCCGAGTAAGTACGTACCTTTGCACTGCTAGAAACGTGTACAGGCGTTTTTCACAAATATTTTTTTTCATTATAGGTTCCTCTCTGTGGCTTTTACTTAGCTAAGTGTCAGTGCAGAGTGGATATTGTAATAAATCAGTTGCTAGCATTCCAATACAGTTATTTCTTCTGCTTAAATCAAAAAGACATTTTTTGCAGAGTATGTTTAGACTGTTGTTTTTATCAAAAGGCATTCATTTTGCATTTCATAGCAAGAATTCCAAAGCCCCCAGCTCTTATCCCAGAACAGGTTTAAATGCAAGCTGATCTGCAAAGGACGGTTCGCATACATTACATTCTCCAAGTTAAATGCTATATAAAAGTTAATCCTTGAAGTTAATTTTTATTCTGGGTATTAAGTCAAGAGGGGTTCTTCTGAACAGATTTTATTTGTGTTTTTTATAGGTTATCAACTAGTATGTATGTTTTTAATAAAAATGTGGTGTCTATAATAAACTGCATTTGTAATCAGCTAGCATCCACTTTGTTTCTAAGTCCATTTTAATCCCGGATTTAACTGATGAGAAGCCTTGTGTATGTTTGGTTTCAGCCATCTTCTTGTTATTTATTTAACTGACAGTCTGACTCAGAAGAATTTTCATCTTTACCACGATTGCACAAGGACAGGAAATGTCAAAGTCTTGAAACTGGCAATTCAAAAGTGCAGGTATTTCATAATCCTTTAGCCTAGAAATGTGCACTTCTACCACTGCAGAGGGAGGACTGTCGGCCTTCCAAACACGTAATTGCTTTCAGCCCTGGGAAGCTGGAAGACAGTAGGAACTCTTAAAACCTTATGTGGTTAAAGCCCTTCTACAACACTAGCTCCTCACAGAGAAATTCTCTGGGCTTTTGTTTATGTACAGATTTTGTGATTCTCTCCCAGATTTACACAATGAACTGGAAACAAGTAATAAGGATTATCATACTTAGATGCAAAATGATTAAAGTGGCAAATCCAGTAGCATGCAAGAATTTTTAAGTATAAAGGTCTTTACAGAATTGAGTATTCATTACCTGTCATTGCATCTCTTCTGCCTCAGGTTTGTGGGAATTTTGGTTTCTTCTGTTAGGAGACAAAATCCATTTCCCACTATAATCTGTAAATGTAACCTAACAGTTTCCCTGCTGTGCAAGTGCCTTGGATGTTGGCGATGCCCTTGGTCCCTACCTGCTCTGTTTTGGTGGCACTTCTGTGGAAGCTCTTAATCTTCAAATGGGGCAGCGAGTTGCTCTGAGAGGCTGTGGTGTCTGGCAATGACTAGGCGTGTGTGGACTTCCACACTCGGTGTCTCTCGTGCTGTTGCCTGAAATCGCAGAGGACTGAGCCCAATGATCCACGCAGCTGTTTCTGGGTCTGTGCCGGGGTTGATTTGCCAGTTACGGTTGTACAATACAAACAGCATTGTTGCACTGAATGTTCTCAGCATACGGCATAGTCCCCATGAAATGCTTTAAAGCAACATTTTTTGATGACTGTTGATGCACCTACAACCTTGGTTACTTACTTACACAGCAGCTGTAAGAGGTTTTTGGGGGTTTTTTCCTTCAAATTGCTTTGCAGACATTTTGCTATGTGCCTGACCACCCTGAAACACACAGCCCTGGCCTAGGAAGGGCTAGGGTTGAACAGCTCCAGATGAGCAAGAGCCAGCCCTTTCCATTCACCAAACTGCAGTAGAGTCTGATTGGGCAACAGCTGAGCTGGAAATGGACTGTCTAATATGTTAGGAGGGTAAGTAATTTATTAGACATCTCTGAGGCAGGAGGCAAAGATTGTCTTCATCTTACAGAAGGTGGAATTAAGACACAGATGTGGGTTCACAACTGCAGCTAAAATTCAGGTTACACATTATTTTGCATTAAATTCAGATCAATTACTTTTTTGAATTAGAAATCATCCAGAACAGCATTGCACCTAAAAACTTGAAAAATCATTTGATTTATTTGTTATATTTACACATTTGTCTTTAAGCTAAACTTTGAACTTTTTGGAATGTTTTTCTGTAATCAACTAGTTTTAGCCCTTCACACCTTTTTGCTATTTAACAAGTATTTTATTAAAAGTAATTTTTTCCCTTAGCCCAGTAAGTATATCAGTGTTAAAAGTTCAGCTATACAAAGTGCCTAGGAAAGTATTCAGCTCAGCAATCGGTCACTTCATATTTCTTTCAAATCTTTCTTAATCAAGCCTTGTAATAAATAAAGACTAATACCACCATGACAACGCTGTTTTTTCAAATTGTTCATTTGCCAGTTTTAACAAGATAAAGAAAAGAAATGAATACTTGATGTGGACATTGTTTTACCCAAACAAACAAAACAAAAAAAAAAAAAAAAAAAAAAGAGAGAAAGAAAAAACAAAAAAAAAAAAAGAGAGAGAAAGAGAAACCAAACACCCAAAATAGACAGACAAAAAGGACACAAAGGAACACACACGGAATGATGAAAAGGAACAATGATATTGCACAACTTCAGGTCTCTCTTCCCAGATTTTGATCCATGTAATTAGGTATGTATGAATTCAGCAAAAAAATGTGTCCAGATAAATGTGTAGCAATTTGAATGAATCTAGCACTGTTGACTGCTTTCAGTTCCTTCTGACTGCTACTTGGAGTTCTTCTCTAAGAGAGCAGGTTGCTGTCAGCTGCAGGAATAATAAATAAACCAACATGTTGATTCTACATTTTGCTGACCAACCCTTCAAAAATTATCCATAATATGCACAATTCTTCTATATTGTAAATACACTGTCTTCAAAGTACTCGGGTCTTTAAACACAACTTGTTGTATCAAGTACTCAAACGATATATGAAAAACGATCAAGAACATTCCCTGATTTGTTGTGGTTAACTTGAGATTCCATCTCATTTTGCAAGACCGGGACTTCCCAATGTATCAGCGTTGTGTTGAATGTATAAAAGTCACAGTAGGGTAAGTTGAGGGGGGAGGAGGGAAATAGAAAGAGAAAAAAAAACACGCTAAGTGGATGAAAGGTCTTTACAGCTACAGTCTTTGCTAGACCATCTTTGAACAAGCACATACTGTTTGCTACAGAAATTAGCTAATTGTGTCATTCTGGCTATAGCAGTACTGGTTTCCCCCTCAACTGCTAGTATGACAGTCTGTGTTTATATAAACTTTGCATTTATGTGCAGAACAAAATATATTTTTCTCGTATCTGATTTCATATCTGTTTGGTGGACTGATGTGTCAGCCAGCAGGGCTTAACAGATACATTTAATACAGGAGACTGAGATACAGTATGTTTATTCTTAACTTCTGATAACTTAAGAACTACAAGAACGAGAGATGCAGTATCCATTTGCTATGATCCAAGACAACCATTTTTAGGGAGAAAAAAGTAGAATAAGTGATCAACGCTAACACTACATTAGTTCCAAATATATATTTTTTTTTTTCAGTCATGGTAGCTTAACTATTTATTGTCCATCTGGCCCACTTTTAACCTGATCAAGTTAAAGGTGACACATTAAAGTTTAAGGACTGTTGTTTCATCAAAACCGAAGCAAGTTCTAAAAACCATGAAACCATAATTTCACTGTAGGACTTGTTTCATATCTTCATATTCCACATCACTTGTAGAAAAGGGATAATGCATCTCCGTTTGCTTACAAGCTAGGAGATCACTTTGAAGTCTGCATATTCCTAACTGCAAACAAAATATAGCACTTCTTTTAACAGGTTATAAATAAACTGGTTTTCAAGCATAGAGCCAGCCCAACAATAACAATACACTATTAAAAAGACCTAAGGCAATGAATTCCATCTCCAATGGAAGAAAAAAAAAAAAAAAGAAAAAGAACTGTGCAAACAAGCTTAAAACTATTTCTTTGTGCCAGTGTTATAAAATGTAGATTTCAATAAAGCCTTGACCCAAATGCCAGGACTTGTGAAAAGAATCAGAACAAAACTGGTTACTTTATTTAGGAAAAAAATACTCTTATCTTGCTGCTAATAAAATTGGATACACGCAGTTTAAACATTTACAGTTGCTGTAACACTTTACACAATTCCTATATATAGGTGTAAGAACAAACATTAAAAGACAATGGTGGGTCAAGGCTTTACATTAAAAATAACAACCTACTTTTCTATAGTCTCTAAAATACTATGTTTTTTCCAATATTCGCAGCCATTCAGGAATATTTTTTATTTGTTTATTAGGAAATGTATACTTTGTGCATGATCTTAATTCCTAATTCCTGGCTCTTTGGGCTGAATGACAAAAGGATCAAACCCATTAGAGTGGATGGTCTCCTTGAAGGTTCAGTGGAGAAACCCTGGCTCAGTTAGTCTCATATGATGAAAGCAGCGCTGCATCCACTGGCTCCATGCAGGATGGACAGGTAAAGGATCTCATCAACCAGTCATCTATACAGTCCAGGTGGTAAATGTGCATGCACGGCAGAAATCGGATAGGGTCCCCATAAACAAAGTCCATCATACAAATGACACATCTGGAGGGGGGGAAAAAAAATCATAAAAATATTTAAGCTGCCATTACCACACTGGAAGTGAGTAGTAGTGTAGTATCTACTCATGGATATGTTGGGAGTCAAACTTTTACTACTTGTAGATACTGTGAGGAGTTCTTAGCTCTGTCAGTGCCAGCTCCACCAAGCACTAGATTTTTTTTGGTGTTCCCATTGTAGTATACGTGCCCACGGTTACAACGTTAGCGAGGGCAGGAAGCCTTCTGTAGGCATGGCGGGGGCAGCTCAGCAGAATGCATAAGATTAGAAATGGTAAAAAGGAGCCATAAAGGTGAGGGAGTAACATAAAATTATTTCCCCATGAAGAGAGGTTAGAGAGGAAAAAACCTGTAAGGGCATGAATTACTTGGGTCAGGAAAGTAAATTTGACCTGCAACAGGAAAACAAATGAGGATAAAGGAAAGAGCCTTCTATACAATCTCCTTTTTTTTTTTTCCTCCCCAGAAAGCTACATTAAATTACAGTCCCTAAAAAGAAGGCAAAAACAGGAGGACAAGATCGGGTTTCCCAGGGCACTATCGTAAACCAATGCAACAGCCCCATTAGTTCAGTTCGGTTTCTGTAACTTACTCTCTGATCTTCTTCTCGGAGCCGTCTCTTCCAGGATCATAGACTCCTTTAGGTAGATGCTGAATAAGGCCTATCCTCTGCGCTATTCTGATTTGTTCCTCTTCTGTCAGCTGTGTTGCTAGCCGAGTCTGGCTAGGAGTTGGGTGATAAACAGGAACAGGCACCTGCTCCTAAAAATTAAAATATTTCAGTTAAAAAAAGACCACAGAGGCTTTCCTAGCATTTCATAGCACAGTACAGGCAATGTATCTAACCTTTCCCTTCTCAGTCTTACACGTTTTTAGGATCTCCTACTCCTACTTTGCAATTTCGGGGCTATAATTACATTGAGAATGGGATAAAGATTTGAGGCCAGTGTCTTGAGCTAGGAGATGTTCATGGCTGTTCTCCCCAAAAGCTTTTTATCTCCAGGGATTGTTCCTACATGAAATACACGTATAACAAACTCCACAGGACAGCAGGCACATAAACCTTCCAGGCAGCTGGTGAACTGCTAACATACTGAATTGAACAATGTAATGGCTGAGGAAGAGCACCCAGTATTTGCAACAAAAAGGAGATTTTTTCTTCCTTTTTTTTTTTTTTTTTTTTTTACATTTAGGAAGAATTACTTGCAAAGATGAGGACAGTGCCTATTCTTAAAGAGGGAGGGTTTATTGATTCTGTAATAACTAAAGTTTATGTGAACTGTTCTCAGCTACACAAGCTCCAATCCAGAACTGTAGATTTAATTCTTGTGTGTTTAAGAAATGTCACCTGGACAATAAAAAGAATAGCTTAAGTAAGCAATCCAAGTTTTACATTTTTTTCTTATAAATTAATACAATTTTACAAGTTCTCCCAAGCTGAACATCAACAGCTATATGCTTAAAGTACATATTTCCCAAACAAAAAATAGGCAACATGTAGGTATTAGGCAGTCCTTCCTCTGTCATGTTCTCAGAAGCTTCTTTTGAATATTAATGAACTTTAGATCAGATATTTTCACTATCATTTATATTAACACAGTGCTTATTTTACTTGCTTTTAAAGCACTTTTTTGGATGTAAATATCAATTTTGAACAGGAGATACTATTAGGACAGTATTAGCCCGTAGCCATAAATCTACTGTTATTAGGGAGGCGATTTCTTACAACAGGCCTATTTTAACGGTACTTCTTAAACAGCAGAAAGAAATTCAGCTTCTAGCTGTGCTCCGAAAATAAACCTGGTGCATCAGAGACACAATAACATCGATTAATCTGTCTGAAAAATGCAGAAGCTGACTTTCCAGAGGACATCGCTGCAAAGCCTACAGACTGCAGGAGCATGCGCAGCTGCACCGCAAGAAGCGCTGATGCAGCACCCATCACCTCCGACCAAGTTCCCATCGCCAAACTCCCACTCGCTCATCACCGATACGGGGAAGATGTGGGCTTTCACCATCCATGACAGAGCAACCACCTCCTGAAATGGGCATGTCCTTGCAAAGCACGGACCACCGTGGGCATCTCCAGGTATTTCTAGCAGCAGGAACACAGCTGAGCTGCCTGCCCCTCTCCTGTTCCCTCTTTGCCTTTTTGCCTGCTCCGGCAATGGTCCAGTGCAGCGTTCGGTGTTCAACTGACACCAACACCTGGCAAAGTCCAGATACCAGGTTTAATGCATGTAATACTGCACTCGTAAAACCCGATAAAGCGTTTCTTCTTTCATTGCTAGGAAGCACGGCAAGTGGAAAGCCAGACAGGACTCCTGGAAGGCCGGGAGAAAGCAGCCCGAGGAGCACGCAGCCTCTCGCCAGCTGGTGCCAGGGGTGCCCAGCAGAAGTCCTTGCTTACAAGAAATGCTAATCAAAAACACAAATCTGCCTGCCAGTTGTTCTTTTAACACAGTGCCTACCCACTTGCAATTCAGCTGTGGGGTAAAATTCACAGTCTTCTTTTAATGAGCTACACTAGGATTTCCCCCTCTGATTTCCTAGCAGAACTCGGAGGAATTATGAGAAAGTTCAAAAGACAAAATACCAGTGGTTCTGTAAGTTTGATTAGTTTCCTGACTACTCTCAACTATTTCACAGAATCACAGATTTCTTCTGTGCTGCCTTTTAATGGTTTAAATTATCAGAAGTATTCTGTAATCGTTTTGGGGATGGGGAAAAGCACCAGCTGAAGCTATGGATGACCTGTCAGATATATCAGTATTCATGAAGTGGCTCTGCACCCTTTGGTGCCAGCAAAATAAAGCATTTTTTTCCCTTCCCAAATGCTGCAGACCCTCTGTGCACTGAACACATCACAGCTGGAGGCAGAGCCCAGCGCTGGTTTTATGTTTCAAGAACTTAACACGACAAACTATCAGTAACTTTTCCTTTTTTTCCCCAAGGCTTTTGCTATACTTCTTTGGACAGATCATTAAATCAATAGCAGAAGACCTTACTGCTAGCTCCTTTGTTTGTTACAAAGGCATACAAAACACTTAGCATTTGGAGAGAGATGCAGCCCCCTTCCCACCTTTGAAAGAAAGAGGAGCAGTGTAACCAGCCACATGAACGGCACAGGTTGGTGCTAATAAGGGCAGGAGGAGTGGGGGCAATGGGATTTAATACAGCTCCCCTTGGCAAAGGCGTGACTGCAAGTGATAATGCAGAAGTACGAGGGCAGGCAAAAATAGGAGGAGGAAAAAAGATCCAAGAAACTCAAAATGTCTGAAAGTAGCAGTGACAACCCATAGTGAATGCCTATACCAGAAGAACAGCAAACCGATCATCTCAGCAGAAATTATACAGCAAAAGGAAACTACAGTTAAGTAACAATCTGTTGTGAGTTAAAACTATCACATTTCTTGTTTCAGAGTTGTCCAAATCAGTCACGCCATCCAACTGATGACTGCTTCGGTTAAGTTTTGGACAGTAAATTAACACAACTTTCAAGCCTGTAACAGCCCAAACAAGAACAAAACCTCATTCCCTTGTTCCAGTCTTTTACAGGCGCTTGCTGTGCGCGACCACCAAGGGACGATGTACTTGGGGAACCCGTTTCTGCATTATTGCAGTGCCCCTCTCCCAGCGGTGTCATCTTCCCCACGGAGACCTGAAGAAGAGGGGCCTGATGGACTCCCCGAACCCCTGTCCCACGCCAAATACACGAATGCCTTCCCGACCGCCAGCGCTGTATGGAAACGCCTCCCTTTGGTGTCCTGTCTCAGGTTCCCTCCCGGCAGAGCCCCCACCCTGCCCTACACATCTGACCTAACCAATTAAGGCAGGAATTTATAGTTGCCAGCTGTGAGCTTCTACAATTTCACATACTGGACAAGAATCTCTTGTCAGATGAGTAACTCTGGGTGAAAACGGTGCTTTCACCACGACATCTTCATGCTTGTTGAATATAAAAAATTGGGGGTGGTGTGGCTGCCAAGCTGTTGTGAAAAATGCCTAAATTGTACTACTGTAAATAAATAAAAGTGACTGCTCAATACCCATGATCCAGTACACTTCCTTAACATGCTGTCTGGTGGCACTTTAATCTCATCTCCCGATTACTATTAAAAGCCTGCCCAAACTGAGCTAGCAGTCCAGTGGACACAAACATACCAGTAAAATGGAAGAACACAGCCGTGCACACACTGCAGAGAGTCAAATTATAGGGTACAGCGACGATGACCTTTTCAAACTAGTTCTCTCCCCTCCAACAGCTAAAAGGTGCGTTTATACCTGTATGATTCTAAAAATGTTTTAAACTGTTTATTCATGAGAATACAAAAGCCTAGATTTCTCTGACTCAGTTCACTGAAGTGACATTCGGTATCCCCAGAGAGGTCAAAGTAAGAGATGGAGCAGACTGCATGAAGCGCTCCCCCCACTAGACCCTGACCACCACCCATCAGTTGAGCTGGCCTCCTTCAGCCCCCCGGTAGCCCCGCTGGCACACACCCAGGCTGGCCCTGTACGCAGCCGCTGTCGTTGCTGCATCACCACGTTGCCAGCTGCATCCTCTGGTTTCTCCACTACCAAATCTCTGAAGCATTTTTGGAAGTTAAGCTCATCCAACGATAATTTCCAGTGCCCGGTAAGGCCAGAGTGCAGCCCTGCCTGTGCAGGTTTATCACCCCTTTGCAAATCTTTCACAGCTTTTAATGGTGACTTTTATCAGCCCAGGTTAAGGCAAGGTCGTGCTTACTCCAGGGTGAATATTCAAGGTAATGACGTGAGGATTTGAGACTTCAGTCAACTTATATTTGTAGCTAGAGGCCCCCTGACATGTATGTGTATATATATATACACACACAAAAGATTGTATTACCCAAGTAATTATTATTTTACTCCAAAGACGAGCATGAATTTATTGCTCTGGTGTCTCACTTTTCCCTTATCTACCATGGAAAATGTTTTTGCAGACAAAATTACGAAATACTGAACTTCTAGCCAAAGTCCGTGTTATTTATTGTTTGATAAAGATGTCAGGCATTTCAAACTAAGATGAAATCTCAAGTTAACTCTATTCGTCCATGCAAAAAACCTTAAAAAAAGCCAAAACAAATAATCAAACCCATATATTAGTGTCAGGCAATGAAATAAAAATCACTTTCTGGCACTTAATTTGCTTTAATCAGTTATTTTTTTCCCCCCATATGAATTTAGTAACGATGAAACATCTCAGATGGCCACCATCCTGGAGATGGACAACTTTTTTCTTATTCCCAAAGTAGGTGGGGTCAGCACAAGTTTCCCTGCCTTTCTGTGCACAGAAATCGTTCGTTCCTAAAGTTTATTCAGCCCTTCAATAACGGCATTAACTTGGACTACAGCAGGGTTTGTGTCTCCCATCTCACCCTGGCTGCTCCTCCTCCTTTTGGGGTGGGAAGGGGGGAAATCACAGAAGGCATCTGGAGGTCTGCATTTTTCACTTCTAATGAAAATAAACATTTTCACACATGGCTTAAAAAGCCCAGACATGGGGTTTCTGCATGCAGATTCCCAAGCACGCTTTGCGTTCTGGCCTAGAAAAATCAAGCATGATTGTTAGTTTGAAGTTTCCTCATCAATGCAACTTACCTTGGTTACTTGTGCTGCTGTAAATCTGCTTTTCTCTTGTTTTACAGCATTTTCATCTTGTTTTTGCAAGTGCAATGAATTTGTAATTCTCTGAAAACAGGTCAGTGGTAGATCAGAAACTCTTAATCCCTGGATAAAGATTATTTTAAGATCCCTCTACACCACATATCAGCAGTATGTTATCAGGGCTTTTGTTTGTTTGTTGTTTTTAATAATTGCACCAACATGCACAAATTATCCTTTCAGGAAGGTCAAAGGTGAGACCAATAATTCCTAACATCTAATAGTTCCAGAGACTAAAGCTTCACTGCTGTCCCCGAGATCCTGTCTACAGCCACCCGCTTTCCACTATTGAATGCTTTGCTCCTTTTCCATCTCAAAATTTTCTTCCTCATCTAATCCAATGCTCTCAGTGTGTCTCACCCTGGGAATATTTATTTGCATTTTAACACCAGACCAACAGCATATCTGTTAATTCAGTCCAGCAAGGGAGACAAATGTCTTCCTAGCTACGTTTATCCCAAGTCTTTTTTACTTTTTTTTTTTTTAAACACCAATAGGTACAGCACTTACGCTCCTTGCGGTTGCTGCCTAATTAATTAATGCAAATGTAACAGTTCCATTTGAATTTCCCACAGCTCGTTTTTGTAATCCTTTCGATATGCAAATGTCTTTCTTGGAAACGTGTTGTCTGAAAGCAGCTGCGCTGGTTCACATACAGCTGCATCAGGGCCACCGACGCTGTACCGCTCGCCAGCCCTCCAACACCCGTCGGAAAAGTGGCCTGACCCTTCTGCAGCCCCAACCGCCTTGCAACATCGCTGCCTACTACATCGCTCATCATCACGATACAAATCTTTCAGCCTTGCTGCTTCCCAGTTCTCTCACCTCTAAGGTGAGATGCTTAGCAGGAAGCCTAAATAACTAATCTAGACAAGAACAGCTTCAGTTTATAGACGTAAAGTGAGAAGGTGAGGGGGAAAAAAAAAAAAAACAAAAACAAAAACAAAAACCAAGACACAACCATGCCGTTTGGTTTGTTGTGTGTTCCCCCCCCCAATCCTCACTGAATATTATTAAATTTTCTCTTCTCGCTACTTTATTGCTCATAAGGAACTTGCTGGGATGATGGTCCAGGGACCTTTTCTGTGAATGCCATTCTGATTTGGGTGAAAAAACTCAAACTCCATCTGTATGTGAAAACACATTCTGAAATAATATCCTCCCCCCAGACATATTAACGTAAACCCACTCGCCAATATAATGTGCATTATACGACAACTACAGCTTGCTTTAATAATCCTTCGAATATTACAAGTAGCCTGCCAACTATAAAAGCCTTTTTCTGCCATACAGAAGAGAACAGTTCATTTATAAAGCTGAATACCAGCCGCTACAGAACATCACGTAATGAAATCGTTACTCAATCTTTTATATTCCTGCTTCAGGTAGCCAGTCAGCATAAACAACCGCAAGAGCTGAACGCTTACCCTAAAAAATTCTTTTGAAAGAAAAATCCCCTCCTCTCAGCTCTCCCATTTGGAAGGGAGACCTAGGACAGACAACCAGATCAGACACAGGCGTGCGCACAAGAGGAGCCGTTCTGGCACAAGCTGGAATCTAAAGGATGGGTTTCTCTAGCAGAGCCCATTCACTTCACGGTAATATAGTCAGAAAAGAGGTTAAGCATTAAATTAACACCATATTAAGCAAAACTGTAACTGATCCTTTGCCAAATTTTCAAGCATGCCAAAGACGGATACCCTTTGTTTATGTGAGAAGTGTGAAGACCCAAGTAGTTCTCTCGCAACAAGCAATAAGAAATTTCAAAACAGATTCATTGCACTGCTCTACTACATACATGCTCACCTTTAAAATAGGGTTCCGAGTCCTTGCATTTCTCAGGATATCCATATTTCTCCCTAAGGAGTCTAATCACACAATTTAAATTTTGAATGTATATTTGATTCATCTGGAACTTTATGGCCAATAAATGTATACTTCATTTTCAAGATTGAAGGGATTGTTCTGCTACCACTGCTTACTTGAATTGTTTGTGACCATTTTAAACAAAACCACTTTACTTTTACTTTCGTTTGATGTATTCCTTGATAAGTTTGACAGCACTGAAGGACAAAAAAACCAAACCCACAACATACAAAATTTCACATCTCAGTTCTTCCTTTAAAGTTTCATATAATTTTAAATAGAGAATTTTCATGCAGAAATAAAGATGCGCACTAGCATCGTACTGGTCCAGAGCCAGCAGATGAGCACCACTCCAAAACCCAGCGAGGGCCCCCCTGCACCTGGGATGTGTTTGGGTTCATACACGCTTCCCACCAGGGTGCTCTTAAGGGAAAATTAATAAGAATTCTGGCATTGTAGGAACAGTCAGTAATTAATATAACAACAGTCTAAGGAAACCGTCTGCAACAGAGGAGAGGAACCTGCAGAATCGGCATGGTGTTTCTCCAGCTGCTAACACTAATGAAGAAGCAGCAGCTGGTGTGAGTCGTACAGCATTTCAGAGGGAGGTGGTTTTTGGTGAAAGCCACGGTGGCTCTGCAGTGATGGCGTAGCCTCATTTGAAGCTATTACTAAAACTGTAAAATTGTCCTTTGCATTTTTCACGATTACTCCATTGAAATTACTGAGAAATAAATGTATCTAAAGAGTTGGAAAAGATAAGTAACCGTGACAGAAAGCGAGTCCTGGCTGCCAGCTCTTAAAATGTCACCCGTCTCCTGGGCTCAGCTTTGCTACCGAAAATAGGGCTGGGGCAGTGATAGAGGAGGTACAAGCTAGACACATCCTGCCTGCTGCTTTCCCAGACAGTGACAAGAGCTATTAGAGAAAGGGACTTGGCTTTCAAACCTCTTACCTCTGCTGTCACACAAACCCAAAAAGGCTACCTACTGCCAAGCCAAAGAGTTGGCGGTGCCCTTTTCAGCTTGGCCAGTGCAAACCCAGCCTTACCTGGCAGATAGAAATCACCTCCTGCTCTGTAGTCACCTGCTCTGAATTGTGATTAACCATCAATGCAAACCTAAATATAAAAGATTAGCAAGAAGGAGTTGTAGGGGAAAAGCAGTAATTAAAAAGCAGTAATTAATCCCTGGAAGCACAATCTCCTGACACAACCAGACAGTTTTCACATTTCCAGGCTGCACAGCAGGCTTCTCTGACTCATGGGCCATATCCTTCGGTACGGTGCCACTACCTGAATTCTCGTTCATCAGCTTCATGTCGGTTTTAGCTGTCCTTGTTCCTTTCTCCAGTGATCCCATCAAACATCAGGCTGTGAGTTTCTTCAGGAAAGCGGGTAACATACACCAACAAATTCCAGATCATCAAACTGCTCACCAGAGAACTGACTCCATCTCTCCAGGCAGCCCCACTGACAGCTCCACTTACAACACCACGCCACAACTTCTGAGAGATAACAAAGTCCTCTTATTACAGCTCCTAACATGTTTATTTTAATAGTGTGGGTTTGGTGGTTTGTTTTTTTTTCATAAAGGGAGGGAAAAGATCCATAAACAATTTACAAAAATTCATGCTTTTCCATCAAGTTGCTGCAGTGAGCAAAGCCAGAAAAGAACAGCTGCCCCTAAACATTAAATTAAGGACACTCAGGCACAAAAAGCAGCCTCCAAAGACTTGTACACCCCAAGGGCTACAAAGCAAAGCAGCTGGGTAAGGAGAAAAATCTGGCAGAGGGGGTCAGCAGTCATTTCTGCAGCTGGTGGCAGAACAGCACATGTACGCAGACCATCCCACCCCATAAGTCCTATCTTGTCCTACCCCATTTGTCCCTGCTCACTGCAGGGGGGGGTGGGACTAGATGACCTCTAAAGGTCCCTTCCAGCCCAAACGATTCTATGATGATTCTATGATAAGCAAACCACAACATCTGCATTATTAGTACGTGTCCTCTCCTACTTAGGCCAAGCGGTTATCTTTGCAGAAACCCCTTCTTAGGCCTGGCAAGTGCAGACGGTTATCACAGTGCTATGGCTGTGTTAAACACAGCACTTACGGTTCAAGCGAGATGGTCGCTGGAGAAGTGAGGAACAGATTTAACAACAAATAAAAGCCTGAAGTTTTGGGAAGGAGAAAATGGTCCTGTAACAGAAGAGGTTGAAAACAGATCAATCTCTCAGACTGCCTCCTCTGCTGAAAGGTACGGGCTGAACCTACAGTGTCCCATTCACTTACTGCTGTGCAACTGCTGGCTAGCAGGAAATAAAAATAAAAAAAGGAGACCCCAAACGAACGAATCCAGTTAACATGTTTTTCGGAGGCTGCATTCAAGCACGAGAGACGGGGGAAGCACTCTGGAGCTACCATGGAAAAGCTGACAGAAAGCTAACAGTCCACACAGAAATAGGTGAATTGTTCACACTTCCTCCAGACACATACTTACTTTCTGGAAAGGATAAACACCAATCAATCAGTGCAACTTGTTTATAGTATAAATCAAAGGGCTAACAGCTAAAAATGCTAGTAGTGATCATCCCAGGTAACACCTAAAGTCTGCAGGCAGCCTGGACTCTCGCTATGCCAGGCCCTGTACGCTCTGCAGCAAACAGGCTTGCACACAACCTGCCCCACTCGACCCTTGATCTCAGACATGTGTGATTTGGCCCGGACACCATACCCCACGCGCACCCACCCAAATCATTCACTCAGAGGCTTTGACTCACCCCAGGGTACAGCAGACAAAAAAAGCTTGAGCTCACACACGCTTCTGCCTCCCTGAGACATGAGCTTGGTGCAGATCCACCATCCTAGAATCCCCAACACATTCCGTCACTCGGCAAGTCTGTGCAGGTCCCATACGTGAGAGGCTTGGTACGGATTACTGGACAGGCAGGCACACGATGAAGAGTATAGGCATATGGAACCGTTATGGTTGGAAGAGACCTCAAAGATCATCAAGTCCAACCTTCTACCCAACGCCACCATGCCCACTAAACCATGTCTCGAAGCACCACATCTAAATGTTTTTTGAACACCTCCAGGGATGGTGACTCCACCACCTCCCTGGGGAGCCCGTTCCAATGCCTAACGACTCTTACAGTGAAGAAGTTCTTCCTAATATCCAGCCTGAACCTCCCCTGGCACAACTTGAGACCGTTTCCTCTTGTCCTATCGTTAGTTGCCTGGGAGAAAAGACCGACCCCTGCCTCGCTACAACCTGCTTTCAGGTCGTTGCAGAGAGCGATCAGG